ATTTCACATCACTACACGGAGTTTACTATATCTCCCGCAAAGATTCAAATAATGTCTTAAGTTCTGCTTCTCGTTGTCATTTACCATTTTCATTCTTCAACCCCTCTATCAGTCAAATTTTCTAACCGCTTCCTCAATTCAATGTTCTTCTGATAAGAGACATCAAGAGCTTCTTGTCCCCCAACCTTCTCCTCCTTCACACACGGATCTTGTCACCTTAGTTCATCCAATTTTGACCTCATCTAGCATTTTTTTCTCTGAACTCCTTCAGCTCATACACTTCACGTTCTAAGGCAAAGTTCTTTTTCATAACTCCTCAATGCATGTTTTTCAACCAAGCACCTGTTTTCACTTCCTTCACAACTGCTCATAATTACTCCTGGGCTCTCTTCCCTTTTAATTGCTCCTCTCTGATTTTCAGTCTCTCTTCGACTTCACTCCTTGAGCCTCTCCAGCTCAATCTTCTTCCCCAGTGAGTGCACAATTTCCGCCCTAAGTTTTGCTTCCCTCTTACCAACTCTTGCCTCAACTTTGTACAAAATCCTCAATTTTATACGCAATACGCAGCACAGTCAACTAAGCTCGGATATGCTCATTTCACCGTATCTTCACGGTCATGGACCTAGGAGAAGGGTTCGTTGGGAATTCATAGAGATGAGACAAGTTTTTTTGAAACTAACGGAACTGTACCTTGTAAGTAAACTGCACGAAGAATAATTGCTACGGAAAGATAATTTGTTTTTTCAGATTAACAAAAATAATAAAGAATAAAGAAAATGATCATTTGAAACTACCTGTTGTTGTTTGATGTGACTGGTTTGATTAGAACAACAGATATAGTATCCAAAAAATACAGAAGATGAATGAAAAAGGGCGTGGAAACGTACTGAATACAAAAAGATAAAAATTTCAACAAGTGAGTTGTAGTATTTGACAAAGTTGAGTATAATCACATTTCCCCAAACAAAAATTAACGATATAATTAAATACAATTTTAATTTTGTGACAGTGCTTCTTGATAACCTACCAAAATTATAATTGAAAAAAAAAAAATAATGGGCAAGAATCTGATCCTCAGATGATAGGTATTATAAGAAGAATAGGAAAAAAGCGTTAAAAAAATGAAATGAAGTTTAAAATAATGAGTTTCTAATAAATGATATAAATTTTTTTAAAATAATAAACTTATATAATAAATTTATTTTATATTAAAGTTTAATTAAAAATAATTATCTAATTGATTTTAATCACTATCTATTCTAAAATATCAATTTCTAAATTCAATTATCAATATCATTTAAATTTTTACAAATTAATGTTTTCGAATATCCTACTAGAAATTACTGAATTCATACCTTTAAATATATTAAAAAAAATAAGTAAATCTGAAAAATAGTTTTCCAAACCGAACAACAGAAAAGTATACTTCAAATCAAAAGTTTAAGTAACTAAATCGAATATTTATTCGTTAACTATATGTACCAACATTTTCTTTCTCAGTATAAACTACATTCTGATTTAGAAGATGTAAGATAGCATTGTATTATTTAACTCATTATTATACTTATATATTATTTATAAGATGAAAGAGAACTTTTTGTATTTTCTATAATGAATATTTTTTAACTCAAATTTACATATGATTTCATTTATAAATAATGAATAGCCACCAATATTTTATAGATTAATTCTATAATAATAAACTAAGAAAAGTTTTAACATTTTAAAATGGGAAAAAATACAATCATTACTGAAACTTTCAAATTTTTCCTAAATAGAATAATAGAAATGCTGTCATTTTTCGTGTAATATATATCTATGCATTCTTAATATGAAACAAATCCGACAACTTATATTTATTTAAGTCAACAATGAAAATTCAACTAAACGGATTTGAATATTATCCACCTACTTCAGGAGTAACCTGCCTAAGACAACAGAAAATTCAGCCACAATGATTGTATACAAAAATTACATGAACACAACATATACTAAAGAAACATATTATAATGCTTCAAAACAGCTATACATGTCTTAAAACATTTCCAAGTTCTATAAATTTACTATTCCCCTTGTAGATTGATTAAATTTTCAAATACTTCCCACAGAAAATTTTAAATACTGTGGTATTCCCACACCTTTACATAGCAAAAGTGACCACCAACCTTAATTGAGACCCTTAAATAATAATGTCGGTGTTGGTTTTTACTAATTTTTTGAACACCTAATACACTTTTAATGTTGTCCTAACTCATTCTGGTGCATCAAGTGTAGTAATAAACTGACAAAAGTAAATAAAGGTCACGAACAAAAATACTTCCTGAGGCGTGTAGATCATTGTCCTTAAGGACTTATCCGCATTGTGTTGCGCAAGTCCCCCAGGATACAACAGGAACTTCTCGAAAGTATTCGAGGATCACAGAACTGCAAGAACTCTACTTTAAATAGAGTTTATACCCAAGATAATTTGTAGAAGAGAAATAAAAATGAGGCTAGGAAGAGAAGAGAATGAGAAAGACTCAGGTCTTTGGGATGGGAAAGTACTCTCTATTTATAGAGCTAGAAAAGAATAAAATAAATAAAATAAATTAAAACAGATAAGTTGACGTTTCAAACCATAAAATTTGACCGTTTCATGCACTTAAAGATTTGACTGTTTTAATAAAATATTAACGTTGCAACAACTTTCAATTGCAATAAATACATATTTTTACAACATCAGGATAAAATTACATCACCTTGCAAGACTTAACAATTTTATAATAACTTTGAAGAAATACCTAACACTTTTATTAGATAAGCGTGTCGAAACCTATCTTCATGTAACTAGACTTAATATGAGATTTACTACAAATATGTTTTAATCAATAAATTAATTTTCTCACATACATGTTGCCACAAAAAAAAAGACCTAACATCTTTATTGGGTAAACGTGTCAAAACTCATCTTAATGTCACTAGACTTTAATCTGACAAGTACTACAATATGGTTTAACCAATAAATGAATTCTCTCACATGCATTCTGCCATAAAGAAAAGACATAACACACACTTATTGGGTAATGCGTGTCAAAAACCGATTTACAATGTTACTAGACTTAAATCTGACATGTACTACAATATGTTTTAATCAATAAATGAATCATCTCACATGCATTAGCCACAAGAAAAAACCTAACATCTTTATTGGGTAACAGTGCAAAACCATCTTCAATGTCAATAGACTTAATGACATGTACTACAACCTAACACATTTAATTCTCTCACATGCACTGAACCAGAAAGACCACATTGACTTCCACCATAATAATAATACTTAATGGAAATACATCACAATCTTTTTATTCCATAATACACCCGCCACGTTGCAAACCACTCTGAACACAACACACGTACACTTCACTTCTTTCAAATGGAAAAGTTTGACATGAATGAAGAAGACAATTCAAATTCCTACCTCGCTACCTTATTTTCAAAGTGAAATGATTGAGTCTGATGGTGTGCAGTTCCATTGTCAAAATCCAAAATTATTTCGCATTCCATACAATTGCATATTAGACCCCTAAAGCAACAGGTGCACAATTCTCAAATTACAAAACACGAAATCTATCAACAAGTTCTACTTTAGAAGACCCAGATTGAATGAAGAAGGATTCATTGTGTATGATGCTCTGAAATATCAATTGATGGTCACGTTGCACAAATGATTATTTCATATTGAATAAAAAGGATCCATTGTGATGATGTTTCTGATATCAATTGATGGTGATGTTGCACAAATGATTTTTGTAAGTTTAGTTTTCCTATTAACACGTTTAACTGAGTTGTTTGTTACCTTCACAAGATCCACTGAAGAAATATTTCTCTTCGAAACCAAATTCCATCATCCTCTTTCACTAACCCTACCTACCAAATTGTATCTCGTATTCACCAACACATAGTTTATTATGGCGACCTCTAAAAAGGGTAACATCACAAATAGTCCATATGGTTACGATCTATACTTCAGATCAAGACAACCATGTGACCATGTCAATCCCGCACAATTACACCTTCAATAACCTTCTAAAAAGAATAACTAAAATAAAAGAATACATTGTGGGGACCGCAAAATAGTAACTCAAATTGTCCACCTTTTCCCATCGAGAGTAGTTAATAAGAAAACTCATCCATGGCCATCAGTTCAAATCAATCGAATAATGACATCACACAAATGATCAACAGGTGGAAAAAGTTCAACGTATTATTCATCTATGTATCGTCCTCACAACTTGGAAGTATATCGAATTGTTCATCCAAACAATAGACATATGTCCACCAACACCTAACGAAGAATGAGAAGATATGAAACCTGAGTTATGTCATTCCAAGTATAAGATTTAGGTTATGAGTATTGTAATTTTTTTTATTTAATTTCACTTTTCAATTATAATCAATTATTTATGTGATTTAGGGGACAAATATTGAATTTTTTTTTCATGAATTCCATTTTCAATTGTAAACTATGTTATGTATAAGATTTAGGACACCAAATTGTAATTTGTTTTATTAATACCATGTTCAATAGGTCACCATGTTATGCGTAAAATTTACGCCTTTGAGTAATGTAATTTTTTTTTTTTTTAATTCCATTTTGAATTATGTCATGTGTAAATGGTTGCATTCAATAAACATATTTTCTATTTGGTTTTTTATTTTCAATTTCGTTATTAAAAATTATGTAAATACAAAATTATAAAACAACAATGAAATTAACAAAAAAGAAACTACGTACAAGTACAATGCCAACATTTATAGACTTCATAACTATTACAACTAATTATGTAAAGTTGGTTTACCCCTAAAATTTGTCTAATCTTAACAAATATTCATTTGAACATTCAATATCATTGACTTTAATTCATTTCAAAGCAGTAAACTCTCATACATATAACAACTCACATCCTATCCATTAATATTTTAAGTAGGTAAAAATGCACACTGATCAACCCTCAAGCATATAAAAACTCACATCCTTTCCATTATTATGGTAAGCATGGAAAAATGGACCAAATTGTTTAATTAGCTAAATCAAGTGTCACAAATCAAAATATTAAATAAGTCATAATCAACCAAAAGCATAGAAATAAAAATTGTTATCCACATCAAGATGATTGTCTACTCCGTACATGTCTACCTCCTTTGTTGTTGCCCTTTTGTTCTTTAACTAAGGCATGAGCGAGTTGTAATGCCTCGTTAGTACGATCATATGCTATAGTACCCTCACTTACGTCACAATAAGAAATCATTGTTTGTAAGATTGTGACTATGCGTCTCAAATTACCCTGCATTCACAATGATAACAAAATTAATAATCATCGTTAAATAAACTTTAACACATAAATAATGAAGTAATACATACTAACACCCCAAATTCAGAAGGTGATTTACGACGAACTGACACGTCATCTGGAATATGTCGTCGAAGTCGGGGTGCAAGAGTCATTCGATCCAAGTCAGCACCAGGAATCATGTACGGATGGGATACTCGTCTAAACCACTGCAGGTATCCCTCAACACAATCATATGGAGATGACGTCGGTCTGACATGGGATATAACTTGCGGTCTAAAGTGCACCCAAATACCATAAATGGTCTCAATGTCAACCTTTGTAATAACATCTGGTGTCCGTGGGATGGGCTGCTCAAACTCAAACTGCCTCAATACGCGTTCAGGCAGATGTCGTTGAACCATGTCACCAAGTCTAATCCACCCAGAAAATAAAGCAATGACCAAAAACGGACGATTACCTCGATGAGACTCATATGGGGACCAGATCACCCCATCATATGTTAGTCTATCCAAATGTGCTCTCGCCTCTACTAGGCTACACCCATGTCTCCAGATCTCCCATCGTGTTGCACGAGGTTTGTCTTCAATATAAGATGACAGCACACGCCTCCTTCCCATATCAGGGAAATGCTCATAAATCCAACTCTGCAAAAAAAAAATAAAAAAATTACACCTTGCACAACAATGAAAAACTTAAAAGAAATCAAACTGCAAAATATATGTCTACCTGTAAAAGAGTCATATATCCAGCCATTTGTCTTGTCGTAGCAAGGCTGACATCTCCGAGCTGCTCATACAGGTAAGCAAGCGCAGCAACGCCCCAGGCGTATCTGCCACATCTATCCAACTCTCTGAACAACATCAAGTATGACACATGAATCAATGTGCCACTCTTATTTGAAAAAATACTGCATCCAACTAGATGTAACAAGAATGCTCGTGCGGCACAGTCCCATCGTTGCTGCTCACAACACTCAGTATAAACACCTCTTAACCAGCTAAGCCTCACTTTCGGACCACGGGCTTATGTCATCTCAGTTCCCGCCCTCTCGTAGTCCACACCCAAAAGGTCCATGAGAGCAGACTGAGCTTCTTCCCATTCTAAGTCCTTGACTGGACAAAATTCTCCCTCTATAGACAGGTGAAGGAGCGACGATACGTCATCGAGTGTAATGCTCATCTCACCCACTGGCAAATGGAAAGTGTTTGTCTCCAAATGCCATCTCTCAGCAAACGCCAACAACAAACCCTTGTCAACATAGTCGTACGAAATACCACAAAGAGGCAATAATCCAGAATTCAACACAATTTCTTCAATTGCCTCGTGACATGCTCCAAATCTATTTAATTTCTTACCATGGGAGATCAGCTTGATCACCCCTCGATCCTATACAAAAACAATTAATATAAAATTTATTTAAACAACCCATTACCAATTTAAATTCAAATATTGTATTAACCTCGCCCTGCCACAACGCATGTGCAACATGTCGCGCATAGTGAGTGAGCAAAGATGTATCATGTGGACCTCCAGGAAATCCACAAACTTCCTTTTCACCAACATTCACATCCTCCCGCTCCTGAACATGATGTTGCTCTTCAATAACATTATGCTTCTCCTTATGAATATCAGCTTCTTCCTGTCTTCTCCTAGCTGATGCAGTAAGTCTTCTATTTTCCCCTTGACAAGAACTTTTTCCTTGATAAGATGATGCACCTTGTGTTCTAGCCATATCTATAAAAACACAATAATTTTCAAAAACAAAATAAAAATTAATACAAATTTAAAATAAATATTTGAAATAAAATTAATACAACAAAATAATCTTCATGAACATAATCTTCATGAACATAATCTTCAAAAACAACAAAATAAATAAATAATACCATAAACTAATACAAATTTTAAATTAAAAATTATTTCAAATTTATTCAACGAGTTTTGAAAATCGTTACCCTAAAGGCCTCAATGGTTTTCAAAACCCATTGAAGCCCAACCAGTTTTTCATATCAATGCATAGGCCAAACAAACATCATTCAAAGTCTATAACTATGCAAATGTAAACAAAAACGTAAACAAGTACCTTAGCTTTCCTTCCTTCTTTGAAAGAGTGTTTGTGATGCAAAGGGTGTTGTGGTGGTATGTGGTCCTATGAAACTTGTGGTGGTGGAGTGGCACGAAGAAAAGAACAAGAATGGAGATGAGAAGAAGAACAAAGGAGAGGGGGCAACGACTAGGTTAGAGAAAGAACAACAAGAGAAAAAGTGAAGAGGGTTTTAAAGTAAAAAGTGAAAAAAAATTACCTAGGTTAAAAGCCAAAATCCATTCAGAATTTGTCTCTGCCAAACGAATTCCAAGTTTTGCTTTTATTAAAAACACCTCATGACACTAAGAATTCGGTTTTCAGGAAACCGAGTTCTGAACATAATAAAAACCGCGCTATATTTGTAAACATAATACAGTGTGCCATTTCTGAAATTAAAAACGCTTTTTGTGTCATCAATGAAAAAAAATCTAAGGTTTTTCTATGAGAGAGAACAATATAAGTTGTTCTTGTTTTTTTATTTTTTATTTTTTAAAATTCATTCTTGGGTGCCACACCATAGAGAAAAGAAAGTTAACAATCAAAAGGATCCGGGGTTCAGAAGGGGGTTAAAGACAGTGAAGATGGTGAATTGATCATTCCAAATACTCCCCTACGTGTGTTGAAAGCTGATCCTGACCTTGTTGAGGAACATCAGGGAGGTATACATACATTGACTTTATCTTNGGCTGACATCTCCGAGCTGCTCATACAGGTAAGCAAGCGCAGCAACGCCCCAGGCGTATCTGCCACATCTATCCAACTCTCTGAACAACATCAAGTATGACACATGAATCAATGTGCCACTCTTATTTGAAAAAATACTGCATCCAACTAGATGTAACAAGAATGCTCGTGCGGCACAGTCCCATCGTTGCTGCTCACAACACTCAGTATAAACACCTCTTAACCAGCTAAGCCTCACTTTCGGACCACGGGCTTATGTCATCTCAGTTCCCGCCCTCTCGTAGTCCACACCCAAAAGGTCCATGAGAGCAGACTGAGCTTCTTCCCATTCTAAGTCCTTGACTGGACAAAATTCTCCCTCTATAGACAGGTGAAGGAGCGACGATACGTCATCGAGTGTAATGCTCATCTCACCCACTGGCAAATGGAAAGTGTTTGTCTCCAAATGCCATCTCTCAGCAAACGCCAACAACAAACCCTTGTCAACATAGTCGTACGAAATACCACAAAGAGGCAATAATCCAGAATTCAACACAATTTCTTCAATTGCCTCGTGACATGCTCCAAATCTATTTAATTTCTTACCATGGGAGATCAGCTTGATCACCCCTCGATCCTATACAAAAACAATTAATATAAAATTTATTTAAACAACCCATTACCAATTTAAATTCAAATATTGTATTAACCTCGCCCTGCCACAACGCATGTGCAACATGTCGCGCATAGTGAGTGAGCAAAGATGTATCATGTGGACCTCCAGGAAATCCACAAACTTCCTTTTCACCAACATTCACATCCTCCCGCTCCTGAACATGATGTTGCTCTTCAATAACATTATGCTTCTCCTTATGAATATCAGCTTCTTCCTGTCTTCTCCTAGCTGATGCAGTAAGTCTTCTATTTTCCCCTTGACAAGAACTTTTTCCTTGATAAGATGATGCACCTTGTGTTCTAGCCATATCTATAAAAACACAATAATTTTCAAAAACAAAATAAAAATTAATACAAATTTAAAATAAATATTTGAAATAAAATTAATACAACAAAATAATCTTCATGAACATAATCTTCATGAACATAATCTTCAAAAACAACAAAATAAATAAATAATACCATAAACTAATACAAATTTTAAATTAAAAATTATTTCAAATTTATTCAACGAGTTTTGAAAATCGTTACCCTAAAGGCCTCAATGGTTTTCAAAACCCATTGAAGCCCAACCAGTTTTTCATATCAATGCATAGGCCAAACAAACATCATTCAAAGTCTATAACTATGCAAATGTAAACAAAAACGTAAACAAGTACCTTAGCTTTCCTTCCTTCTTTGAAAGAGTGTTTGTGATGCAAAGGGTGTTGTGGTGGTATGTGGTCCTATGAAACTTGTGGTGGTGGAGTGGCACGAAGAAAAGAACAAGAATGGAGATGAGAAGAAGAACAAAGGAGAGGGGGCAACGACTAGGTTAGAGAAAGAACAACAAGAGAAAAAGTGAAGAGGGTTTTAAAGTAAAAAGTGAAAAAAAATTACCTAGGTTAAAAGCCAAAATCCATTCAGAATTTGTCTCTGCCAAACGAATTCCAAGTTTTGCTTTTATTAAAAACACCTCATGACACTAAGAATTCGGTTTTCAGGAAACCGAGTTCTGAACATAATAAAAACCGCGCTATATTTGTAAACATAATACAGTGTGCCATTTCTGAAATTAAAAACGCTTTTTGTGTCATCAATGAAAAAAAATCTAAGGTTTTTCTATGAGAGAGAACAATATAAGTTGTTCTTGTTTTTTTATTTTTTATTTTTTAAAATTCATTCTTGGGTGCCACACCATAGAGAAAAGAAAGTTAACAATCAAAAGGATCCGGGGTTCAGAAGGGGGTTAAAGACAGTGAAGATGGTGAATTGATCATTCCAAATACTCCCCTACGTGTGTTGAAAGCTGATCCTGACCTTGTTGAGGAACATCAGGGAGGTATACATACATTGACTTTATCTTATTATCCTTTTTACTTGTATTTTATTATCCTTTTTGTTGTGAAGATCATATGCTTACTGCTGTTATATATTGACTTTTGACATTCATATATGATATACCAGTATGCCTTAGAAAAAAGGATTACCAGGTATGGTGACAGCAGCTGACAAAACTAAAGCGCAAGTGTTACCCTGACAAGTTTTTTGCAAATGCTAAATCAACTGATGATTATGATAGTTGGATTTTTAATGTTAGGATACTCTACTCTCTTGGCTCTAGCAGTTCCTAAGTTCCTACAGGGTTGGTCATTGCATACACACACACACTCTCTCTTTCTCTCGGTTGTAGTAGTTCCTAAGTTTCTATAGTTGATAGATGTGTTAGTAAAATCACTAGAGAAATCAAATTCAATCTAACGGCCAATCCAAAGTCACAACAACTATATAAGCAGTAACATATATAACATGCCAAACATTTAAGAATATTAACTGTAATTTAAATCAACCAAGAATATGTTGAGAAAAAAAGAATTATTTTTGCACTAAATGAAAGAAAGAGAAAAATACCTTAACAAAGGAAAAATATACAATTAATCTTACCTACATCTTCAAACACTAACAGAATAAGATGAGAAAGAAATAAACAAATCCTAATAGAGGAAAAAGAAGTGAAATAGAGGGAGATATATGATAATGGAATAAACTTTTTACTAAAATTTTACAACATGTTGGTCTGAGTTACACTGAACTTGTATCCTTCAAACAAAGTCTCAAATCTGAGCTTTGAAGATGAAAACAAAAAAAAGATAAAAATTGGATTAGGACAGAACTCTACTTCAGATTTTCCAACAAATAATAGTCATTGAGCAAAGTCACTTCGTTCCAATTTCATAATCATTTAGAAAGATTTAAAGTGTGACTACCATAGCTAGATATACAATTCCAACGCATTGATATGTTTAAACTAAGAACTGATCTAAACTTTCCCGTATAATATTGATTAGAGAACTTACTTCTCTTTACAGGGAGATTTTCTGTTTCAAATAAATCAGCAAAGGATGTAGACGTGGAAGTAGAAGCCTGAATATCAGAAGCACGTTTTCTTTTGATAATTTCAACCCTTTGTGGATGTTCATTTTCTTCAATTATTTGAGGAATAGCTTTCTCTCCATGAAATCCTTGTGATGTGTACTTATCATCATCATCACTTAGGTCCATGATATCCTTTTCCAATTTGAATTTTACCCCTGCATGTACAAAGAATATGTGATTAAACAAAACATTACTTTGTTAACATTATATACTTCAGGCAAAAGCTAGGAGAATGAAGAGTAGTAGATTCTGGAATACAAGGAAAAAATTTGTTGTTGACTCAGCATTTCTAGAAAAATACAGCCTCCGGCTCTTCAAGTAATTAACTACGTATACTTTGATCAAATTCAAAGCAGATACATGTATTTTTTTTGTATGGATAAGCAAAATGAGTTACCTTCTTTGCATGCTTCTGTTTGCTCTTTCTTTTGTTATTGAGAGAAAACATTATCAGGAGAAAGGAAGAAAACTCAAAAGAGATGACTAGTAGTTTAAAATTAGGATTCTCAAATACTATAGATGACCAGGATTCTACAACAAATCAAGCCATGGGTTGAACATCTGAGGAAGACAACGGGAACAATGTTGTGTTTGGTTTGAGGATAAGAACATAAAATACCTTAGGCTGGAAACAGGGGTAATTTGGCGCTATAAAGCTGTCTGTGTGGGGGTCCAATGAATGGTCTGACCTACCATTTGGATCACTAGCTAACTGCCTTACCTTGCACTTGCAAGTGGACACCTTAGTCTTCTCTCCAAAAGTAATAAATTCATTGTGCAAACTTGGGCCATCAAACGTCAATCTTGTGGTGAACTTAGTTATGATATTGTTACTTCAACAACAAGACTAGATGATGTGAGGACTGTATGTTCTTAAATTTGTCTACTAATAGTTGCAAACTGTGATGATTTTTTGAGTATTTGAATGTAATCTGGTTCAGTCTTCAATTAATCCAGTTTGAGCAAGAACTGTTTGCCTCACCACATCACTTCAATTAATTTACTAAAACACGATTTCCGCCAATAGCTATTTCCTTCTCTCAATAAATCTCATGGTTCAGGGTATAAAGAAATATGACTGAAGTATATTAATCAATTCAGTGTAATCCAATTAAACATAATTATAAAAATGTAAATCTGTATTACAGATGTAAGAGACGGAAAAGAGAGCAGAATTTTCATTTCCATACCTAATGCTCCTATAGCATCCTCCTTGTTCCCTTTGTTGGGAGACTGAACAGTGCCAGTATCAACAGAGTAATGAGTATCTTCATCCCTTTGTAAAGGAACAGGCTCCCCAGTGTCATTTTCAAGCTCGTTGTCACTAACATCCTTTTCATCTTTGACAGCGAAAGAAACTCCAAGATTGGGCTCCACTTCAGTGTTCCCACAATCAAAGGCATCTTCACTCATCAAAGGCATAGTACTCTCTTCCAACTTCACATCACTGACACGGAGTTTACTATATCTCTTCTCCAAAGATTCAAATAATGTCTTAAGTTCGTGCTTCTCGTCTGTCAGTTTACCATTTTCATTCTTCAACCCCTCTATGACAGTCAAATTCTTCTTAACTGCTTCCTGCAATTCAATGTTCTTCATGATAAAGACATCAAGAGCATTCTTGTCCCCAACCTTCTCCTCCNATTTGGCGCTATAAAGCTGTCTGTGTGGGGGTCCAATGAATGGTCTGACCTACCATTTGGATCACTAGCTAACTGCCTTACCTTGCACTTGCAAGTGGACACCTTAGTCTTCTCTCCAAAAGTAATAAATTCATTGTGCAAACTTGGGCCATCAAACGTCAATCTTGTGGTGAACTTAGTTATGATATTGTTACTTCAACAACAAGACTAGATGATGTGAGGACTGTATGTTCTTAAATTTGTCTACTAATAGTTGCAAACTGTGATGATTTTTTGAGTATTTGAATGTAATCTGGTTCAGTCTTCAATTAATCCAGTTTGAGCAAGAACTGTTTGCCTCACCACATCACTTCAATTAATTTACTAAAACACGATTTCCGCCAATAGCTATTTCCTTCTCTCAATAAATCTCATGGTTCAGGGTATAAAGAAATATGACTGAAGTATATTAATCAATTCAGTGTAATCCAATTAAACATAATTATAAAAATGTAAATCTGTATTACAGATGTAAGAGACGGAAAAGAGAGCAGAATTTTCATTTCCATACCTAATGCTCCCATAGCATCCTCCTTGTTCCCTTTGTTGGGAGACTGAACAGTGCCAGTATCAACAGAGTAATGAGTATCTTCATCCCTTTGTAAAGGAACAGGCTCCCCAGTGTCATTTTCAAGCTCGTTGTCACTAACATCCTTTTCATCTTTGACAGCGAAAGAAACTCCAAGATTGGGCTCCACTTCAGTGTTCCCACAATCAAAGGCATCTTCACTCATCAAAGGCATAGTACTCTCTTCCAATTTCACATCACTGACAGGGAGTTTACTATATCTCCTCTGCAAAGATTCAAATAATGTCTTAAGTTCGTGCTTCTCGACTGTCAGTTTACCATTTTCATTCTTCAACCCCTCTATCATAGTCAAATTCTTCTTAACTGCTTCCTGCAATTCAATGTTCTTCATGATAAAGACATCAAGAGCATTCTTGTCCCCAACCTTCTCCTCCTTCCACACACGGATCTTGTCCCTTAGTTCATCCATAGATTTGACCTCATCTAGCATTTTTTTCCTGAACTCCTTCAGCTCATACACTTCACCTTCTAAAGCAACGTTCTTTTTGATGAACTCCTCAATAGCATGTTTTTCAACCAAGCGACCTGTTTTCACTTCCTTCAACAACTGCTCATAATTATCCTGGGCTCTCTTCCCCTTTTTATATTGCTCCTCTCTGATTTTCAGTCTCTCTTCGACTTCAATTCTCTTGAGCCTCTCCAGCTCAAACTTCTCCCCCAGTGATCCAATTTCCGCCCTAAGTTTTGCTTCCCTCTTTACCAACTCTTCCTCAATTTTATCAAAATCCTCAATTTTATACGCAATACGCAGCACATCAACTAGCTCGGATATGCTCATTTCACCGTATTCTTTTTCAGTGGCGGTCGGAATGGACCTAGGCAAAGACCCAGGGTCCGTTTTGGGTTGAAATGTCATAAGAGATGGAAAAGACACAAGCTTTTTTTTTTTTGTGGGGAAACTAACGAAGGAAAAAGGTGCTGCTACCTCCTCTTGTGCAAGTAAACTTGCTACGAAGAAATAGAATTTGAGCTACGGAAAAAGATTTTTTTTCAGATTAAAAAAAATGAAAGAATAAAGGAAATATCATTTGAAACGTACCTGCTGTGTTTTGATGGCACTGGTTTTGATTAGAAGCACTGAATACGAAAAAAAGGAAGAAGATGAAATGAAAAGGGGTGGGAACGACTGAATACGAAAAAAAAAAAGATTTCAAGAGGTGATTTTGTAGTATTTGACAAAGTTGAGTATATATTTCACAAAATTAAATATTAATTAAATACATTTTATTTTGTGACAGGCTTCTTATAACCTACAATAATTTTAATTTAAAACAAAAATAAATGGCAAGAATCGATGCTCATATATAGGTTATTCAATAAGGGAAAAAAATACTCTTAAAAAAAGTAAATTTTTTTGAAAAATATTAGTTTTTATAAAAAAAAAATATTTTAAAATAATTAAACTTACTCATAATAAAATTATTTATATTAAAAAAGTTTAATTTAAAAATAATTTAGTCTAATTATTTTTATATTATTGTTATTTCTAAAATATCAATTTCTAAATCTTTATAAAAATAAAATTGTTTGAATATCTTACTAGAAATTACTGAATTATACTTTTAAATATATAAAAAAAAATCAAGTAAATTGAAAAATAGTTTACCGAAACCAAACTAAAAAGTATACTTCAAACAAGTTTAACTAAATCGAACTATTGATTCAGTTAACTATATATACCATTTTCTCAGCTATTTAAACTACATTCTTATTATATAAAAGATTAATAAGGGAACTAGCCATTGTACTTATTATCTTAAATTTATATATGAATAATTTTTTAACTCAAATTTACATATGATTTCATTTATAAATAATGAATAGCCACCAATATTTTATAGATTAATCTATAATAATAAACTAAGAAAATTTTTAACATTTTAAAATAGGAAAAAAACAATCATTACTGAAACTTCAATTTTTCCTAAATAAGAATATAGAAAGTGCTGTCATTTTTCGTGTAATATATATCTATGCAATCTTAATATGGAAACAAATCCGACAACTTATATTTATTAAGCGACAATTGAAAATTCAACTAAACGGATTTGAATTATTATCCACCTACTACTTCAGGAGTAACCTGCCTAAGAAACAGAAAATTCAGCACAATGATTGTATCACAAAATTACATGAACACAACATATAGTAAAGAAACATATTATAATTCTTCAAAACAGCTATACATGTCTTGAACATTTCCAAGTTCTATAAATTTATATTCCCCTTGCACGATTGAAATATTCAAATACTTCCCAAAAAATTCCAGAGCATCCTAGTACTCTGTTTAGTGACATGTTCTCATTCATCATTATAAATAGGAAAACATCTCACTCTATCTATGAAAAAGATTCAGACAAAAACAGTCCTTGTTCAATGTCCAAAGTACTTTTTAAAAAACACCCACAAAAGTATTCAAAATACAAGATGCACAAAAGAGTGCGCAGTAAAGTTTGCTGCAAAAGAACCAATATTGTTCGAATTACAATAAACTTGAAATTAGACAGTGCCATAATCCCATTCTTCTTTAGGTCCATGGATAATTGCAAGGAACGTGCGGCTGTCGTACTGCTTAGTGATAAGACTTGCAAGAGTGCCGAAGTTGTTATAAGTGGCAGGGAGACTGACGATATCCTCAGGTGGATGCGTCTCATCTCCAGCGATAAACAGCATTCTAAGCTGTGCGCTCATGTCGGAGTAGTGGCTGCGAGGTAGGGTGCAGATTAAATCAGCAGATCCGAAAATAACTTCCAGTTTAAAGGTCCACCAAGCGGAGCCTGTTTTAACTCCGGCGTCAACGGACTTCAGGGGAATCCCAAGACGTGCGAGGGTCGGTACGTAGGTCAAATATTCAGCGAAGGGGTAAGCAGCAGCGGAACGACCTTCATGTTGAGTTCCTTCTGGGTAGGTTGGTATCATGATGAGGTTGGATTCCAGAGAATGAGATTGGAAAGAGCCAAATTCCTGTATAGCAAGAGCCAAAGGCAGAGGGAGTTCAATGTCCTTAGTGTAACTAGGGGCAGTAGTGTACCTGGTTGCATGTTGTCCATATGCAAGATTAATGCTACGTAGTTTTGCGTAGAGAGCCGTCATGCAAATGTCAGCAATATGCGGGACGTAAGTTGTAATCTCCGCGGTGATATCAGTAGGTCGCATGTCGCCAAGATTTTCATAGCGAACGGTAAGCACTTTGGTCATGACATCTTTGATAGAGTCACGAAAATAACGAACGTTAACGTTAAACGAACGCGCCGTAAGAGCTTTGCCTGCGCCAACTCGCCGGTAGCCGATTTCTCCTCGGTCCACAAGCTTGCGTAAATAAGTAGGATTGCCATCCAAAACTAATCGTTTTGTCAAGATGGGAACGAGCTCGTGAGCTGTAGGTTCTTGCCTTGGTGGCTGATCCGAACGACCGGAGACGACAATAGATAGGTCGATGGTAGGGTCTCCTTGGGAGGTCTCACCGGGGCCTTTCTTTCTGCCTGACGGGCCGTCGAAATCTGCATCGGAATGAAACATACCCTGTTTGGACTGCATCTCCAGGGAATCCTGTAATCAACCAGTTTGTCATAAAAAGCTATAGAATGTACTTTTAGCAAAAAGAAGAAAGTTTGAGAGTAGAAGACTTACAATGCGCTTAGAAATTTGAAGTGCTGATTCTGATGTGAACTGGCCTGATGATGTCATTCGAGCCCTCTTCCATTTAACATGACATGAAGGAGGAGAAGGGGGACTAGTCAAGTACCTGTACTACACATTAAAATTTTCGAGACAGAATTTGCATAAGCACATATTTAAATAAACTTATATATGTGTATGTGTTGGACAAACAAACATGACTTAGATTGAAATATTCTCATGTCTTCATCATGCTCAGTATGACTACCATTTACATTGTCTTTGTCTAGATTTAGGCCTCATCATCTCAGGGAAACACAAAACAGATTTAGAAAACATTAAAACAAAGTTGTGAATTTTGGTTTTCTTGAAAATCTCAGATCTTTTGAAAATGGCATTCCTTTCAAGTTTTGGGTTGAAAGGACCTAAAAAGTGAGTAGTTTTGAAAGATAAATATAAAATTTAGTGAAAGACACCTTCCAAGTATTCAAAACGAATTTTATATGCCTTAAAATAGGACTAAAGAAAGAAGTTTCACGTCAAAATTTATTGAGTCATAATCTAAGCTTTTAGAACTTGAAATGAACAAATTTTTGGTAAAACTGAACCCACTGAACTAAAATGTGTTGTGTAACTCTGATAGTCAATAGATTTAACGAACAACAAGAGTTTGGTGATATAAAGCTATGGAAAAAAGATTCTATACCAAAATCTCCCCTATGTAAAATGTTATTGAGAGCAAAAGTTAACCCTTTTTACAATTTTAGTAATTTTTATGTAACCTAAAATGACTATTTTTACCTTAGGTCTTTTTTACGATAGTTTGAGTTTGAACTAACTGAATTTTTAATACTAGTTTCATTTACTTGTAATGTATTTACTTAAAGCTAAATCATGCTTTCCAATTCTTAGTCAGTTACTTGCACTTGGAACTTTGAATGGGATAGTTGCTTCAACAAACACATATTACTCTCAGGTATCAAATGTGATCCCCTATGTGACAACCACCTTTCACAAAAATCTGCCTAAAATTCAGCAACATAACATCTGTATTTGTCCATAACCAAAATCTTAAACACACCAAAATGGCAAGGGTGAGTTCACACTCTCAGTCTTATAAATTAAAATGAACATTTCACCATAACATTCAATCAAACAATTTCTTAAATAACAAAGAGAGAGAGAGACTTTGAGGACCTACCTAGATTGCCATGAGAGAGACAACGATGGTGAGGAAACCAAAGCAGTGACTGGTGTGGGAGTTGCCAACGGCGCTAAACATAGAAGAATAATTAATATACACCATAGTGAAATTAAAAGTAACGAAATTATTAATTAAAATATATTCTTTAGACACAAAATATCCACAAGTAATGAAATTGTGTTTTAAATTGATTGATCTAGACTGGTGAGTTGAAATGATTATCAGTCCCAAATGCCACTTTAAACAGATTAAGGTTTTTTATGAGAGAGAATAAGATACGTTGTTCTTATTTTTATTTTTTCTGTTTTAAAATTCATTCGGGTGCCACACCATAGAGAAAAGAAAGTTACAATCAAAAGGATCCAGGGTTCAGAAGGGGGTTAAAGAGAATGAAGATGGTGAATTGATCATTCCAAATACTCCCCTAACTGTGTTGAAAGCTGATCCTGACCTTGTTAAGGAACATCAGGGAGGTATACATACATTGACTTTATCTTATTATTCTTTTTACTTGTATTTTACTATCCTTTTTGTTGTGAAGATCATATGTATGCTTACTGCTGTTATATATCAACTATTGACATTCATGTACCAGTATGCCTTAGAAAAAAGGATTACCCGGCATGGTGAGAGCAGCTGACAAAACTAATGCGCAAGTGTTACCCTGACAAGCTATTTGCAAATGTTAATTCAACTGATGATTATGATAGTTGGATTTTTAATGTTAGGATACTCTACTCTCTTGGCTCTAGCAGTTCCTAAGTTCCTACAGGGTTGATCATTGCATACACACACTCACTTTCTCTCGGTTCTAGCAGTTCCTAAGTTTCTATAGTTGATATATGTGTTAGTAAATTCACTAGAGAATTCAAATTCAATCTAACGGCAATCCAAAGTGATAGACTTCTTTAATCAAGAAGTCTAGAAAATGAGTAGAAACACACACCAGACAGCTCAACACAGTGAATAACCTCTGATTGTATTTAGTAAATGAAAGAATACAATTGTTCCCACAGCTATCAAGGAAGCCTAATCTTCCCCCC